CATCACGCTCTGCAACAATCTAGTGCTCAATGACCGCAACAAACACATCGACTTGCGCTATCACCTCATCCCTGAGACTGACTGTGTTGACAAGGGCATGATGGCCGTGGACTTCATCGAAATCAACGTAGTAGAAGGGGGATCCCGACAAAGCGGTTTGGTCGTGTTCGCTTCCAGGAATTGTGAAGGTCCTCCCGCAGGGTTGAGGGGAAGAATTGTGGATTTAGACCCTGCCTTGGCACACATGCAAATATAGTTTGCCATGGCAGCGTTTCCAGGCAAACCCGAAAACCGCCGCCATGGCAGCCGTTTTCGCTGTCATGACAACCCTTTTATCGGTTTTGTTTTTTTCGGTGTTGTTAGGTGGTTTTAGTTAGGCCAGGAGGACGTGGTTTATGCGCCACGAATGCAAGAGCAAGTCGAGCATCGCCGGCGAGCCCCTTGGCCGGCGGCGAGGGAAGGGGGGAGGTGGAGGGAAGGGCGGGCGGTTAGGATTATTCCATCGATCGATCAAACCTCAAAGTCTTGTTATCCTACTTGTACTAGGGGCTGGTGTGTGCCCATCAAACCTCACAATCTTACTAGTACCCCCAGGGGCTGGTCTGGTGTGCCATCATCTTCAGATACAAGAAACAAGATACATATATTTAACCGAAGTGAAATAGCTTTCATGTGATTTCTTCTTCCTCCTACAAGATGATTGTTCGTTTGCCTTTCTTCTTCCTCGTTGAAAACCTACCTACGAGAGTATTGTGCACGTACGTGATCATGACACCCTCATGACCTCACCATGATAACTCCATTATTGCCGCCGATTCTCCCCACTCATGGCGCATCCCCACCACCCACGGAGAACAGATGCCACGACACGACACGACACGACACTCACCTCCTCTGCTCTATCTATATACCACGCCCACGCCCACGCCCACGCCCCAGAACACACACACACGAGTCCAACCAAACCGTCACCGACGACACACGAGTCCAACTCCAACCACACCAGAGAAACGGAGATGGAGGAGGCGAACGGCGTCGTGATCCGCGGCGTCACGGCCGAAGCGGGGGCGGGGGCGGAGGCTGGCCGCCCGCCGCACGTCGCCATGCTGGTGACGCCCGGGATGGGCCACCTGATCCCGCTGGCGGAGCTGGCCAAGCGCCTCGCCGCGCGCCACGGCGCCACGGCCACGCTCATCACCTTCGCCTCCACCGCCTCCGCCACGCAGCGGGCCTTCCTCGCCTCCCTCCCACCGGCCATAACCTCCCTGTCCCTCCCGCCCGTCGACCTCTCCGACCTGCCCGCCGACGCCGCCATCGAGACGCTCATGTCCGAGGAGTGCGTCCGCATAGTGCCCGCGCTCACCAATATCCTCTCAGGGCTAAAGGACACGACAAGGCTGGTGGCGTTCGTCGCCGACCTCTTCGGGGCCGACTCCTTCGACGCCGCGGTGGCCGCCGGCGTGGCGAGGCGGTGCCTCTTCTTCCCGACCAACCTCCACGTGCTCACCCTCATCCTCCACCTCCCGGAGCTGGACGCCTCAATCCCCGGCGAGTTCCGAGACCTCGCGGAGCCCGTCAGGCTGCCCGGCTGCGTGCCCATACCGGGGCCCGACATCCTCTCGCCGCTCCAGGACAAGTCCAACCCCTGCTACCGCTGGATGGTGCACCACGGCCGGCGCTACCGCGACGCCGAGGCCATCCTCGTCAACTCCTTCGACGCCGTCGAGCCGGACGCCGCGCGGAATCTCCGTACACCACAACCCGGCCGCCCTCCGGTGTACACCATCGGCCCGCTCATAAAGACCGACGCCGCCGACGCCACGGATGACAAAAAAGAGCCGCGCGCGGCGTGCCTTGACTGGCTCGACCGGCAGCCGCCGAAGTCGGTCATCTTCGTCTCCTTCGGCTCCGGCGGCTCGCTTCCGGCGGAGCAGATGCGGGAGCTGGCGCTGGGGCTGGAGCAGAGCGGACAACGCTTCCTATGGGTGGTGCGGAGCCCGAGCGACGAGGGCGCCGTGAACGCCAACTACTACGACGCGGAGAGCAAGAGGGACCCGCTGCCCTACCTCCCACAGGGGTTCGTCGAGCGCACCAAGGAGGTAGGCCTCCTCGTGCCGTCGTGGGCCCCGCAGATAAAGGTGCTGGCCCACGAGGCCACGGGGGGCTTCCTAGTGCACTGCGGGTGGAACTCGGTGCTGGAGAGCCTGGCGCACGGCGTGCCGATGGTCGCGTGGCCCCTCTTCGCCGAGCAGCGGCAGAACGCGGTGGTGCTGAGCGAGGGGGTCGGCGCCGCGGTACGGGTGCCGGACACGAAGAGGAGGGAGGAGATCGCCGCGGCGGTGAGGGAGGTGATGGCAGGGCAGGGCAAGGGCGCTGAGGTGCGGGCCAAGGTGGCGGAGCTGCGGAAGGCGGCGGCGGCGGGCCTCTGCGAGGGGGGCGCCGCCACGACGGCGCTGGACGAGGTGGTGCGCAAGTGGACAGGTGGCGGGGACGAGTAGGTGTCGGCGGCACACCTGGCAATGGACCCGGCTCCTTCAATATGCTTGTACGGTTTGTTAGTTTCGTTTCATGTATTCGTCACCATCATCATTGTATGGGTCATACAATTGTTGTTAGGCAGAACGGGTCCCACGCATGTAGAGAAAGATATTCTTAGTATTGTAGATTTGTAATTGAAGGGATGCACATTTTTTTGACATATAAATGGAATTATGTTTCTTATTCTTTAGTACTCCCTCCGTCCTAAATTTTTATTTTAGATTTGTCCAAATACGAATGTATGAAATCACATTCTAGTATTAGATACATCTGTATCTAGACAAATTTAAAACAAGAATTTTAGGACGGAAAAAGTAAAAGAAAACATACAAAATCCCTCGTCACCCGTGACACCAGAGAAGCTCTCTAGAAGGATTCCGTAGCCCGTGTTGGTGCTGCGTCGCCATCCGACAGCGTCATATGTCAATCCGCCCAGCAGCAGAGGTTTCTTGAAACTGTCGGCCATAGCTAGCTAGATAGCCTGGATCAATCGATCCATCAACTTTGCAAAAACACTGAGTTCGACCCCTGCGTCGCCTCTGCTCTGGCGACACGAGGGAGCCCCCACCAGCGCCGCCACCTCTCCCCCCTCCCCCTCCCCTTGTTTCGCCGCCGCCTGAGGAGCCCGCCGGCAAAGCCCGGGCAGGATTCGGGAAGGGTGGCGCGGATCCCGGCCGCTCGGGAGCGTTTCGGCGGCGACTGGCGTCGTGGAGGCTGCTCCGGGTGTGCATCCGCCCTCGGTGTTGCTCCCTTGCTCCGGCGCGGGCGATGGGACGCGGCAGAGGGGCGGCGGAAGGCGCGTGGCGGCCGGATCTGGCCGGCCTAGGTCGGATTCAGAGTGGCAGCGGTTGAGCGCGTCGTTAGAGGTGGTCGGCGGGAGCGGGGAGGTCTGCGGTGGTCGTGGTGGCGGGCTACTTTGGCGGTGGTCATGAGGGCGGCGCTGACGAGGTGGTGCGTGCGTAAATGGACAGGTGGCGGGCACGACAGACTAGGTGTACGGCTTGTTAGATGGGTCCTATAATTACTGTTAGGCAGAACGGGTCCCACACATATATAGAGAAAAATATTCTCTAGAAGGTTTCCGTAGACCCGTGCTGGTGCTACCTCGCCGTCAGCGGCGGCGGCAGGAGGTTTTTGGACGAAACGGCCAGCCGCAAGAGGCTGCCAAGGAAACGGCCAACGTATCTCTGCAGCGTCTAGTGACCATGTGGGTGTGCTTGCTCGTGAATGCGCGCGCGTGTGTCCTCGGACGAATGGAAGGAGACTCCATGCGTGCACGACTCAAAAAAGTGCTCGCCTCAATATTCACCTTACTTTCTTATGAGCTCGGTTTTGAAAATTTTGAATTTCTTCAAATTCTCTATTTTCTATGTTTCAAAGAGTTCTGAAAAGAAAAAACACAGATATACACGAAGGCATGACACACATGTGTGTAAATTTTGAGGGCAACATAAGTTGAAGCGAGGGTTGTGCAAAAAAGATAAATCTGAGATTTTTAACACATGATACTATTCATCCTCCCAGAACATCAGTTTGTCTCTTTTGTACATGTCGCATTTTAAAGTTTTTCATCCTAAAATTTTACACACATACACATAACATTCTTGTTTACTTGCGCAATTTCTTTCAGTTTTTTTTTGAAACCGAAAAGTTTTGAATTTTGATTTTTTTTATTTAAAAAAAAGGCCTTCATGGAGGCCGAGAGCCGAATGTCAATTTGGATGATGGGACGAATGGAGTAACAGGGAGGCAATCATATTTGGATGATGCAATATCAATTTCAAGCTTGTGGGTGGAGATATCGCGATTGTCTTTTTATTGCCCGCTCCACATCGCTGTCGTCCGGTAGAAACGTGTGGCAGAATGTTAAGATGATGAAGAGGAAATGAGAGATTTTAAGAGGATTCCACATGAATGATTCTTTTCCTAAATTAAGGTGATACTCCTTTCACCGCACTACGCATGTTTTCAGAAATTGGATGTTGGTTTCTTCCGTTATAAGGAAACGAGTAGGAGAAGGAAAGGAAAGTACCCTTTTTTTCAGATTATTTCAAGTTACTCTATATACATTGATTTTTGTTTTGTGTGACATCGATTGATATTTTAAAAAATCTACGGTAACCAAACAGGGATAAGAATGTGGGCAGGAAAAACCCGAGGATTAGGTGAGGTGAATTTACCACCTATTTTTTAGTATTAGAGATTAGATGGACGAAAATTCTATATGCCAGTAGAAATAGGAAATTTTGGTACTATTCATGCATTTACAAGACTTTGCGGCATAATTACATTCTAGCTCTACATTTTTTATGTCATTCGACTTGATTTTTTAGAAAATAACCACTGTATGGCTAGAATATTCCTGATCTGTTATATTGTGTTGTATTGATTTGACCATTATATAGTACGTACATGAATGATAAAGGTTTGGAGTACAAGACAAGTAATATATGGGTTTACAGACGTTTTCTTTCAGTAGGCGTTGGAGAGCGGCTTTCAAAAAATCTCAATGTTTTTACCATCTGAAATATTCAAACAAATTTTGAATTCAAATCTTTTTTTAGTTCACAATATAACTCTACTAAGCCCCATGTAGCCTTGCATGTTTCACTGGTCAATGCGGCACGTCTCCTTCCAGGGTTTTAGGGCACCTCCAACACCAACTCCCAAACCGGACACCGCATCTGTCCACCGACAAGGAGACCAGTCTATGGACACGGATACGGGAGCCGACCATCCAACGCTATCCCCTAAATGTCCGTTTGGATGGTCAATTTCAAATTCAAATTCGTCCAATCACATGGCACACGTCGGACCATACCAGCACTGGATCACATCAACCGATCACAACCAAAAAGGGGTAAGTATGCATAATTTTTACATGCCCGATCACAAAATTATATCGTCGGGTAGACCATGCAAAAAATTGGATTTTGTGCCATGCTGTCACCGCCTCTGCCTCCTCCGCAGTCTTGGCCGTCTCCTTCTCTGCCTCCACTGCCTGGAAGCGTAGTAGTATGAAGCCTTGTAATGCTCCAGTCATGGCGGTGTCTACATGGTTGGCAATGGCAGCGGGCCCTGACTTAGGCAAATGACTTAGGCAAACTCAACGGGCTAACCCAAACGGACATGAATGTGTTTGTTTTTTTATCCGTTTAAGTTGTTTGGCAGACATCAAAAGCCCGTCCATGTCAATCGGCCCAAATGTGTGCCCAACGCGCCATTTGAATTACATTTTAACCAAATTTTCAATTAAAAATTATAGGTAATTGCGCCAAAAGTCCAGGTTCGCATTACATTAATTATAAAAATCTAGATCTACTGGTCGTCGTTTTCCTCGGCCAACATGTCGATGTTAGATTGGAGCCGGCCCTAGATATGGCCATGATGTCGGTCCACACAGACAACAGACAAACATAAAATGCGTTTGCGTCCACGCATTTGAGGGTAATTTCTATCCATGCAGAGCCAAACGAACGAAATGCACCCCTGCGATGGATGGATTGAACGGTTCAACCCATCCTTCATTTTGTATCGGTCGATACAAGTCGTTGCTAAGCACAAAATGTGCAAATGGACGACAAGGTTAGTGGAGGACTTTTTCTAAAAAAGGAGGATAACCGTCGGGCTCCGCTTAGAGTGATGCATGCAACAATCTTTATTATATTATTCAATAAAAGCTTACAATATAAACACGTGGAGACGTTCCCGTCGACGACGAGGCGCCTACGGTGACTTCGTAAATCTCAAGATGATATGTCGGCTCAGTCTCTCGGAGGTGCTCATAGGGGTAGGGTGTGCGTGTGTGTGTTCATAGGGATGAGTGTATGCGTGTGTATATGAGCGCTTGTGTTTGTACTGATGCTCAAAAAAAAACCCAAAGCCATCTTTCGAACGAACACTGTCCTCATACCATGTAATCCAATGGCCTCAGCAAGGCACCCGGTGGCGAGTCGGGAGCACCAACACGCATCGCATGCGCGTGCTCTATAATCCGTTGTCCCATCTTTCAGTGTACAGAACGAGGAATGAGCTTTAGTGCCGGTTCGAGACGGCCTTTAGTGCCGGTTGGCGAACCGGCACTAAAGAGTGGGGACTAAAGCCCCCCCCCTTTAGTACCGGTTCGTTACGAACCGGCGCTAAAGTGCAAACACGTGGCACGAGCCAGGCCCGTGTGCGTGTAGGACATTAGTACCGGTTGGTAACATCAACCGGTACTAAATGTTTGGATTTTTTTTTAATTTTTGCTTTAATTTTGTGTTTTCAATTTGGTTTTATTTTCCATTTAATTCTTTTTTGTTTGCTGGTATTTCACAATACTACAAATTGTACACGTTATGCATATATATATATTAAATATATTTTCTCATACGTAGAACCGCATATACACAGCCAACACCATTAACTATTCACACATATACACATGTATATACCTATACAATTTCTACTGCATGTTGCCTTGGTGCCTTCGGAGCACGACGACAAGTGGTTCATGGGGGCGGTAGCGGGTAATAGTATTTTCCTTTCGGATTTACGACCTGGTCGAGCAAAAATCCGGCTATTTTCTCTTGAAGTGCTTGTATGCGGTCCGATGGTAGGAGCTTATCCCGCACCGATCTGAACTGTTAAGGAGATCAATATGCATGTGTGTTAGTTGTGTGACTAGATATCGATAATGGTGTGAATAGTGTTCTGACAAAAACGTACCCAGTCCTGTCTATCAGATCTGCTCCTTTCGCACGTCATCATGCGAATGTTCTCGCAAACGTAGTTTGCACACAGATTATTCCCTTTCGCCTGCCTCAGGGCCTTTACGAGAATGGAATTGAATCAGATAATGATTAATCAAGCATAATAATTAATTAATGATATTGAAACAAGAATTAAAGAGATGATAGCTAGCTAGTACTACTTAATTACTTACCTTGGTTGCCTCTGTTTAACACCAGTGGCGATTCCA